GCTTGGAATATAGTATGGTTAAGAAATGATCCTAGAAACGGAATAAAGCCACATCATGAAAGTTTAGTATCCATGATAAGGATTCTACATTTTAACCTGCAGACAAGAGGAAATCCCATCACCTAAAACAGGAAGAAGAGCTCAACAAGTGCCTCTACAACATACTATCATTTTTATATACCTCATATTGTTCTGCAAAGAATTCAAAGTGACTTTAAAATGCATGCTGCATGACAACATCAAAAGTCAGTAAAAATGGTCAATCCAAGGGAAAATGGTAAAAAAAGATATTAGAAATATTGTCAATAAGCAAAATATTATATGCCCATAGGGGTCTATTTGATAATTAGAAGCTATTCAGCTGACGTTATTCCTCTTAGCATCTAACACAAAGACAGACATGACTGGTTAGAGGGCACAATATTCTAAGAACAACAAAATCAATTATTTAGGAGGAAATACAATTAAATCTTGACCTAAGTAGCAGAACAACACTTCACCTAAGAGTTCATTGGTAGAATACAATATGGATATGGTCTACAATATCTGTAAGGTAAAATATGAATTTCTAGTGTTGTTTCTGGTACCACTTTTCCATATAAACCAAAAGTATCATGGCCAACTTCAGATAACACTTTACAAGGAGCAAGACTTACAAATAAAATCTTAAAGCATCTAAGGATATGAACACACTTACATACATCATTTAGGCAATCCTTCATAAAGGGGAGGGGAACTAGGTAAACTGGGCCACAAACCTCTGCTTCAAGTAATACATTTGTTTTTAGTATTTTCACAAACCAGCTTTCCATATGAGATTTAATTTGAAACAAGTTCAAAATTCAAATTCTATTTTAAGTCCTTGATTAAGAGCAAATCCATGCCGGATGCAGTGGTGCACACCTATAATCCCATTGGCTCAGGAGACAGGAGGATTGAGTTCAAAGCCAGCCTTAGCAATGGCAAGGTGTTAAGCAACTCAGTGAGACCCTGTCTATAAATAAAATACAAAACAGGGCTGGGGATTTGGCTCAGGGGTCAAGTGTTCCTGAGTTCAATCACCAGTCCCCCCAACCCCTGAAATCCCCAAAGAAAGAGCACACCCGTAACAATTAACAGTAAGCCAGTCTTAAAGTAGAGTCCATATATTTTCATGAACCTTTTAGAATACAACAAGGTCACTTGGTCAATGACTAAAGCAGCCACCCCATCTCTGAATTGAGATACTCTTTGAGTACCCAAAGATCACTAATTTATCTCACTAAATTCTTCAAACTTTTCCCCTAAATTAAAAAATAGGATCAGAATACTACTCAATTATATATATTAGTAAGCACTCATTGAAAATGTCAATTCATCATTATTATTATAAACTAAGCTCTTACCAAGTCTATAGGAGAGTGGTCATATTCTCATTCTCTCTCTCT